GCGGAACACAGCCCGAAAAGTTTGCAAGGCACGAGTCAAGTGACCTGCTGTATCTGCACAGAACACTGCAAATCACACTTGCATGACGAACAAGCAAAGTGTGCGACCTACACAGCAGATCCTTCGGATCTGAAGTTCACAAGGAATCAGTCTCGTACCCTGCAGTGCCTGCATACTTGCAGTGCACTGCATGTGAGCAAGGTGTGCACACGCAGCACACAGCCCGCAGTGTACAGCAGAAAAATTCCCCAAAAAAAACAATAAATCCTAAAAATAGGAAAGGAAGTGTAATGAAGACAGACAGGCAAGCGGAGAGCCAGGCATGCATGCGCGCACGCACGCACGCACACACACACACACACACACGCACACACACACACACACACACACACACACACACACACACACACACACACACACACAGAGGAATAAAAGAACAGACATGGAGAGAGCAACTGTTGCTGCTTCCACTGATGCAGCAGCCGATAGCCAGACAAGGAGATGGGACGAAGGGACAGACATAGAGAAAGGGATGGGCGTGGGATATCTGTGTGGAGAGAGAGAGAAACGGAGACAGAGACAAAGAAGCAGACAGGAAGCAAGCGTGTAAACATGTTTCGCATCAGTGTGCTCTATCCCTGGGGGAACATAACAGCTGTTCTCCACGCAATAAGGGGCAGGCAATGGCAGGACTTGCAAATCTGATCTAAGTAACTCTTCTAGGAAGCTAACCACATCATAGCTCCTAGACTCTCACTGAACTACGAGGCCTATCAGAAGTGGTATTGGCCCTTCATCGACCTTGTGCTGCAAAGCTCGCCCCTCTCCCCCCAATTTGTGTGCAAAGCCCCTTTCCTCCCACTTCGTGTGTAAGGCCCCTTTTCCCCTACTCCGCGACAAAGCCCCTTGCACTTCGTGTGCAACCCGCCTCAGCACGCCCCTTGCCCACTTGGCTTGCTTGTGTGTGACGCATCATTTGAACCCCTTCCGCACTCCCTCCCCACAGTTTGGCATGCAAATCCCTTCACTACCCTTATCAACACTCCCCCTCCGTGACTATTTCCCACACAAAGTACCCTGCAGAACCCTGACCACTTCTGCACTCGCCAACCCCGCACTTTCCTCGCTCGGCACTCGCGTTTCCCCACCATTTCCCATGCGAAGCACCATGCAAAAAAACCCATCGACACTTCCTCTTTCGCCCCCTTCCTATGCCAGGCATCCAGCAAAACCCCTTAACACTTTCCCTTTACCCACTTCACAAGCAGAACACGCTGTCACACCCCCATGGCTCGCCCTTCCCCCCTCTTGTCACTCGGTCAACTCCCCCTTCCCGATTCGCAAGCTTCTCATGCTAGAACTAAGACCATACTGTGTTTTTTCGATTTTCTCTGTTTTTTTTTTTTTTTTCATACAGTGAGGTGGCTCTCTCTCTCTCTCTCTCTCTCTCTCTCTCTCTCTCTCTCTCTCTCTCTCTCTCTATTACGAGCAATATTTCCTCCCGGGGGGAGGGGGGGGGCGGGGGAGGATATAAAAATCGGTGTGCGGGGAATTGTTTTTTTAAGTCCTTCCCTCGGGAAAAAAGATTGATGTGCGAGGACTTCAAAAAAAAAATCCTTCCCTAGGCAGTTATAAAACGAGATTAGAAAAGTCGCACAACTCTTGTACTTCCCTAATAATGGCGGGAAGGGGATAAAAGAGAAAACTAAATGGATAATCACGTCAACGAGTTTGCAAAAAAAAGAACGCTAACTAATCCGCATATCAATTTGAAAAAGCACGACTCAGTTCATTGACTAATGAATGTCAAATTCGCAAAAAGAAAAAACAAACGGAGTCGCAAATAATTTGCTAATCGATGAACAAATGGAAAAAGGCAAAAAAAAAGGATGCCTTTATTTCAATTCAATAACCACGATAGAATACGTCAAGGTCAAAATCAAAGTCATCGCATTAGTCAACGACCGAGTCGCTGAAAGTCAAAGTCGACGAAGTCCAAACGACACACACGGCTTTCCAGCTCCCAGTGGCCACTGCATGTACACGGTCTTCCTCCCAATAGAACGCCGAACGCCTGGTCATTCTACCTATACTTGGGGCAACTTTCAGTCTATAGATACAGTGCTCACGACTGCGCGTTCTATTCAGAAGAAGAAGGCAGCCATGGCTGGATGAAGCTGCGGAACGCTCTCTCTTTGAACTCGAGAAAGCTGATTACCAAAAAAAAAAAAGCTCAACATGACCTCCACGTCCAGGTACGCACACATGGTACATACATAGTACATATATAGTACAAACAGAGTACATACAGAGTACATAATCTACGTCCAAGTATGCACACATATATTACGTACATACTACATACACAGTATATCGCCTACGGCTATACCCAGCTGAGTGGAGGGTATAACCATCTCTACAAGCTCGGAGCTACCGAGGGAAAAACGATCAGGTCAATGAGGAACGTATACGCTTAAGCACATCGAAAACATACATAGTACATACGTAGTACACACAGTACATGCGTAGTACATACGTAGTACATACGTAGTACATACATAGAACATACGTAGTACATACTATGCACATATGCAGTACATCATAGTACATACATAGTACATACGTAGTACATACGTAGTACATATGCAGTACATCATCTAAGGTCACGTCAACAAGGAACGTATACGCGTAAACAAATTGAAAAGAGACATATTACATACATAGCACATAATCTAAGGCTATACTCATCTCACTGTGCAGGGTTATAACCATCTCTACAAACCTTGGATCTGCCAACGAAAAAAACGACCAGCTCAATGAGGACCGTATTCGTGTGAACGCATCGAAAAGATACATAGCCTATACAGAGTCGATACAGTGCACATCATCTAGGGCTATACCCAGCTTAGCGGGGGGTAATAACCAGCTGTACAAACCTCGGAACAGCCAACGAAAAGAATGGTCAGCTCGACTAGGAACGTAGACGAGTGAACGCATCGAGAACATAGACCTAGCATATATGCATTTACGTACACGTATACAGAAATATGCACACACCTTACACATACATGCACAAAGATATAAATTCACCGAAAGTGCGCACGTCTATCTCCAACGAGGAACGAGGCTTTTCTCTCGGCTACTGAGGCCATGATTGGCCAAGCGCCAAGATCCTGGCGCCTACGTCACAGCACACGCATGCAGGTTACGTTGCGCCTACGTCGGAGCGCACGCATGCAGGTTACGTTGCGCCTACGTCGTTGCACACGCATGCAGGTCACGTTGCATCGTCCTCCTGCTGCCTACTGAGCCCATGATTGGCCAAGCGCCAAGATCCTGGCGCCTACGTCGCAGCACACGCATGCAGGTTACGTTGCATCATCATCCCGCTGCATGACATTGGGGATATCATACGGGTAAAGTACTGATATAGTACGCATATCATACGGAGATAGTGCAGACATAGCACGGACATAGGACGGACATAGGACGGAGATAGGACGGACATAGAACGGATACAGTAGCAAGATTAGCGGGGCAGTGAACCTTCTCTACAAAGCTCGGAGTTGTCGAGAAAAAAAGACGTAGATATCGGGCCTCGCTCCACTACACGCAACACTCTACATGCATTTGGACGATTTCTTGACCAGATACATTCAAAATGGTGGACTGGTCGAATGGACCTGGTCCAGAGATCGTCCAAATGCGTGTGCAGCATTGCGTAGTGCAGCGAGGCCCATCAGCTCGAGCAGCACCAGCACCTGCTGAAGATTATCACCTGAGAAAGGGCGGGTCAAACCCGCAGGATCTTGCCACGTGGCAGACAGACACAAAGGATCCTCTCAATCCCAACAGATGATCATCACCTAAGAAAAAGCGGCCCTCCTGTTAACCAGGCCGTCGTAGAAGGTAGTAAGTAGTGCTTGCAGCTGAATGGGCGTGCGAATGTTCCGCACCTATATACATATATATTTATTGTTGTCATATATCTACAGATACATCTGTATGTACACAACGAGACTCTGCATCTGACATACATTACATATCCACATCCACCTTTGACTACCCGGTGAACCGTAGGCAAAGAGGGAGAAAAGGACAACAAACCCTGGGGAGGAGGAAGAGGAGGAGGAAAGAGGAAAGAGGACCAACAGCAGGGAGCATACCCGCTGCGAGTGAGAGAAGAAGCGACCCTCTGTCCCTTCCCCCACCCGACACTTTCTGAAGAATCCACAACCCTCAGACCCCYGCSCCCCCCCTCCCCCCCCCCCCCCCCCTCCGCGAAAAAAAAAAACCTTCTTGGATAACAACAGCCGACGGGTCGCCGACGGCATCGCCGAGTGCCACGTCAACGCGGTAAGAGCGTGCCACGTTATCGCGGTACGAACGCGCCACGTCATCGCGGTAAGGACGAGAGAAAAAAGTACGGGAAACGACAAAGCTAAAACCAACAGAGCATTCAACTCTCCGCCTCAAACTGCCAACTTGAAGCACGCTCCGACTTCCAGCTCTTCCTCTGCTCCTTCCTTCTCCCCGCTAGAAATTGACCATCCATCATCGCTCTCTCTCCCCCATACCCAAGCACACTACCAAGATGGCAGACCAACAGCAGGTGGGCAAACGAATAAGTCACCAGGAACTTCCAGCAGAAGAGTAAGAAAACACCCTCATCCATGAAGAATGACGACGCAGGAATGAATGATGATCGTGACGAAGACAAGATTCATCCATGAAGAGTTATCAAAACCCATCCCCATCCATCCATTCACCGATGCATCCATCCATCCATCCATCCATCCATCCACAACCTTACACAAGAAGATGAACAGACCGAAGGAGCGAAACACAAAAGGCGCGCGAAATACAAGAAGCGCGCGAAATAAAAAAAGCGCGCGAGCGAACGATGATGATGATGATGATGACGAGGGCTTGATAGAGACTGGGGACGGTGATGTATATCCTTGAGTTTTTTTTATCCATGTGATTTTCTTCGTCCCTACCATTCCTGTTCCGGTCCCGTGAGTCATTACCAGCACCACCTGCAAATCCATCCGAAGAACGTAACCCATCTTCACCATAGCCAGGTCTTCTTCCCCCTCCTCTGCCCTCGAAAGAGGAGGATGACGATGATGCAAACCTGCCTACACCTCCGCCGCCCGACCGGTAGTCCACCGCCGGACTGCGCGACCGTCTCGGAGGAGCAGCAGCAGTACCAGGTCCTCTCTCCCGACCGGTCGGCGCCCATCCACCAGGTCCTGACTGCGGCTGATTACGACCTTCCACGTCAGCATGATGACCTCCTAATCCTCCTCCCCCTCCCCGGGCTCCTCGTTCTCTGGTATCTCTCTCTCCACCGCCCCTCTCACGGTCCCGATCCCGCTCATACGCACCGCCGCCACCACCAGCACCACCACCCCCAGCTCTCCCCATGTCAAACGAGGACGCGTTCACCCCCCTCTCTCTCCTATACCTCTCCTCTCTCTCTCCGGCATTCCCCACGTGCCACCCTCC